ATCTGACTTTGTTTTACAGAACTAAGTGCATCAAAATTGATCTCCACTGATGATGTCGCTACACGCAAACAGTTTTCCAAATGAACATCAGTAATTCGATCTCACTTGTGATTTGATGTACTTCATGCGACTAAAAAGCTGTTCACACGCATAAGTGTTTCCACATAGCGAAACCATCGACAGAGCATATTTGTAAAACTCAGGATATTTATCCTTGTCCAAATACGTTTCACAGAACTCTTCCAAACCAACTTGACGAAATTTCTCCAACGTTTCAGGGTTTACTTACTTATAGAATCGATATGGTAGACAGGCTACTTGGTTAAAGTAGTTTGAACTGTAATTATAAATATGATAAATATGTATTTTAACGTCAATTGCAAAATCTCTCCAGATGCATTGGCGATAATAAAACAAAACTACAGAATAACACGAAACTTTGTCAAGCTGGACTGAAAGTAGTTATGAGTATGAGCCCGATAGCATTGTGAGCTTCCCAAAGACGCCGAAGACCACAGAACATATATAGCTGAAGTTGAAGTCTCATATTAAATTTTATCAACATCTAGCGTCAGACAAAAAACTAAGTAACCTTGAGTGTCAAATAGCAGGATATTTGAAATAGCTAAAAATCTATGAATTTTTCCAAAAATGAGAGATATTTCAAATTTCTCTTAGCTATAATTTAAAAATACATGATACGAATAACTCATGACATAATGTTCTTTTGGTGATATGTACAATAAAGTTAACATTTATGTTCATTTGACCTAGCTCCGCAGGCCACAACATGACTCCAGGCAAACTGTATGCGGCCCGCAGGCCTCATGTTGGCCACCCCTGACCTACATGAAACCTAAAAACAACAATACCATAGACCCCACACAATTACATGTCTTCCAACACTCTACAAATTATTGACATCCTGCATTGCAAACAAAATATACAAACATGTTGAAGAACACGACATTCTTACAGAACAACAAAAAGATTACCATAGAAATCACAGGGAATGCAAAGAACAGTTACTCATAGATTCAGTNCGATTGCAAAATCTCTCCAGATGCATTGGCGATAATAAAACGAAACTACAGAATAACACGGAACTTTGTTAAGCTGGACTGAAAGTAGTTATGAGTATGAGCCTGATAGCATTGTGAGCTTCCCAAAGACGCCGAAGACCACAGAACATATATAGCTGAAGTTGAAGTCTCATATTAAATTTTATCAACACCTAGCGTTGGACAAAAAACTAAGTAACCTTGAGTGTCAAATAGCAAGATATTTGAAATAGCTAAAAATCTATGAATTTTTCCAAAAATGAGAGATATTTCAAATTTCTCTTAGCTATAATTTAAAAATACATGATACGAATAACTCATGACATAATGTTCTTTTGGTGATATGTACAATAAAGTTAACCTTTATGTTCATTTGACCTAGCTCCGGAGGTCGCAACATGACTCCAGGCGGGCTGTATGTGGCCTGCAGGCCTCATGTTGGCCACCCCTGACCTACATGAAACCTAAAAACAACAATACCATAGACCCCACATAATTGCATGTCTTCCACAAATTATTGACATCCTGCGTTGCAAACAAAATATACAAACATGTTGAAGAACACGACATTCTTACAGAACAACAAAAAGATTACCATAGAAATCACAGGGAATGCAAAGAACAGTTACTCATAGATTCAGTCATTCTATGGCAAGCACACAAACAACACAGAAACATACACATGGCATATATAGACTACAGAAAAACATTCAACAGCATTCCACACAGTTGGCTGCTACATATTCTACTCATGTACAAATACATCCATCACTCATTGCATTTTTCAAAACACTATTCAACACTGGAGAACAACACTACATCTCAGGGTTAGTAACACTTCCATACAAACAAACAAAATACTCATTAGATGAGGAATTTTTCAAAAAGACTCCCTGAGTCCTCTCTGGTTCTGCCTAGCCCTGAATTCATTATCCAACATGTTAAACAACATGCAATATGGCTACAATATAAGACATGGAAAAACAACACAGTTTATGCTGTCACATCTCATGTACATAGACGACATAAAACTTTATGCATCCACACAGAAACAACTTCAGCAGCTTCTACAAATCACATATTCATACACTAAGGACATACAAATAAAGTTTGGCCTAGACAAATGTAAAACACTTCATATAGAAAAAGGAATCCTGAAGAAAGAAGATTTTGAACTTGGAAATGGAGATGTTATTGAATCCATGGAAGCAGGCGAGTTCTACAAGTATTTAGGATTCCAACAGGCCAAACTAACAGAACATACACAAATAAAGCAAAGATTAATTAAAGAATACCAAAGTAGGTTAAATGCCATTCTCAAAATACAGCTAAATGCAAAACACACAGTTAAAGCAATAAGCACATATGTCATCCCACTACTGACATACTCTTTTGGAGTTATACATTGGACTCGCACAGATCTTCAGCAACTCCAAAGGAAAACAACAACAACACTTACTAAACATAAACAACATCATCCTAAATCCACCACAGAAAGATTAACCCTTCCACGTAAAGATGGCGGACATGGCATAGTTAACCTTCACTACAAACAAATACAGTTGCTGTGAGAGTTTTTCTACAATAAACAAGAAACATCACAGTTACATAAAGCAGTAACTCCAGCAGACTCAAATAGCACACCATTAAACTTACACTCACATCATACAGACTTGACAGAACAATATAAAAAGCATAGACACCATTAAGCAATTGTGGGCTCAAAAGGCACTCCATGACAGGCATCCTTATGACCTGGCCCAGGATTTTGTTGTCAAAACTGCGTCAAACAGCTGGTTAGATCGGGGATGCCTCTTTGGGGAGACGGAAGGATTCATGATTGCCATACAGGATCAGGTCATAAATACTAAAAACTACAGAAAACACATACTCAAAGATACAACACTCACAAATGACACATGCAGAAAATGTCACATCA